GTCTGCCTTCGGCTCAGGTCATGATCCCAGGGTCCTGGGATGGAGCCCAGCATCAGGCTCTCTGCTCAGCGGGAAGCCTGCTTCTCCCTCTCCCACTCCCCCTGCCTGTGTTCCCTCTCTCACTGTCTCTCTCTGTCAAATAAATAAATACAATCTTTAAAAAAAAAAAAAAAAAGGAACACATAGACTCAAAACATTTCAGTGTCCAAACCAATTGTACCATATCATTTCTGCCTAAAGCAAGTACAATGTAATTAACAAGCATATGCAGACTTGTTTTCTTCAGTTGGCAAAGTAGACATTATTCACACACACGAAAAGCTAACAGCACAAGTAGAAAAAGATTAGTCTATTATTATAGGACCCTTAAGACCTGTAAGAGGAAAGTTTAATGGCCTGACATAGCTGATGAACTTTCCTTCCATTCAAGAATGGGCAGTATTAACTTGAGCCATTGCTGGCTGTATTTTCTTACATTCTTTCTCAGCACTCTCCCTGGCTTTCAAATAGCTCTGGTTGCTTGGATCAAAGTGATCCAAGTTCTACTGCACACTCTATACCGAAAGAACTTTTTAAAATCTTGCCATTAAAAAGTGGTCCATGGGCCAGGAGCATCACAGACCCCATCCAGGCCTGCTGAATCAGAATCTGCATTTTTAATGAAATCCTCAAGTGATTATTTTCACTCACTTCATTTCAGCTTTTATTTAGTTCTTACAGTTAGCTGTAGCTAACTAGGGGACTATGGCAATGGGATTCCATTATTCTCAGCAGTTAGGCAGCCAATCTTAAGAAACTACTTCATATAGTATTGCTCCTTCCCACAGTTCACAGTAGCAGGCATAAAAGAGGAATGCCGTATAGCTTTCTGGAGCCTTGACTCACAATTGCAATGAGGCTTCCTCTTGCATTTATCCTCTTCTCTTTCACAGCCCTGCTGGATATTGGTTAAGTATCAGTCATAGCCCCAATAATATTTTATCCCATATTTACATAGTTTTTTTTTCTTTCTACCAGAGAGTACGTATCTTGAGAACATGTACTGAATCTCTTATGTGGCTTTTCAAAATCTCCAAAGCCAAATATAGGTGCCTAATGTACGGTATGTGTTTGATAGTACCCTCTCTTTTTAATTAATGAATGAAAATAATTAGGTCACTGATTAAGTAGCTGATTCATGAAACTTCAAATACAGGCAAAACTATCTTACCCACTTCTTAAGTTTTACAATTATAGTATATATTTTCACAGCCAAGTCAATTTGTTTCTCCTATAGGTTGATTCCAAAGATTTTAGTATATCTCACAGAAAAATATTCAGGCAAAAAGTTTATATACTTTTTCATTTGCAATGCATGTGTTTTTGTTTTTTTCTGTTAACAGCTTGTCTTAATCATCCTTGAATCCCTATGACTCCTGTAGTTTCTGGTACACAACATGCACTCAAATATTTGTTGAATGAGTAAATTATTTTTAAATTACCATGAGTTTGTTAGCATATTACAATTAATGAAGAAAAGCTCCAATGCAAAACATTTTAATAGGTTGTCAAATATACAGTTATTAGAATTATCTAAATATCACTTATAAAATCAGTATATCACATTAGATGATTCTATAAAATAAAAACACAAATCGCACATTGACAATAACCCCTGCAGTCCAAGAATACCCCCATCAATACTACAAATTACAAACACATTAAAAAAAAGAAAGACATTGTATAGACATTTCAAACCAAAGTAACTTTGACTACACTAAATACATTCATTCATCAAGTACAATAAATTTAGCATAGTCACTAATACAATTTTAGGTGCAATTTCACATGCTTTCATAAATCTTCCAGTACAACTCCCTATAGTAAAGTGTCTTTGTGCACACCAAGTTCATTTATATGCAGGTGCATTACACATCATACTTGAAACTATTTCACTTCATAATTAAACTTGTTAACATATATTGTAAGTGAACACCAGGCCAAAATTTAATCCCATGATGACAAAGTTTAACAATTAAAATATAAAATTTTTCAAAGTATACTCTAATTTATTTACTCACATGAATGCTACTTCCTCTTATTAGACACTATCAACATAATAACAAGAATTAAAACATCAAAAAAATGGAGACTCCAACTGTCCCAAAATATTAGCAAGCATTTTAAGTAACAATATATTCACTCTGTAAGTCAAAAATTTCATATTCATTGCCAAACTTAAAATACCAGTGGTTTGAAGATGAGACTGAGGACTAAAGTATTTGTACTAAATTGTAAAACCCAATTTTAAAAATGTGCAGTAATTTGCTTGTGAATATGTAATGGAATGTTTTTCACAGTAATGTTCTGTTAAAACACTACTCTAAATGGACAGCCTAAAAATAAACGTACCTTTAACGGCAAGAAAAGTGAAAAATTAAGGCCTTTTTATCCCATCTATAATTACTACCTGAACTCAAGAGTCAAATAGAGGTTATAATGCTGCAAAGTATTATTTTTAACCTAACATATTGTCAGTTGCTTCATCTCAGCTCAATAATCATTTCCTTATCTTTACACAAACTCAAATGCTAGTTAACTTTATTATTGTTAAATGCATATTTTTCTGTATCTCTCCTTTAATTAGGTCCCCAAACCCACCCCATCTAGATAGAATGAGAAAATGGTTAGGGCTTTGTCTGAACTGTATATTCAGGGGCCAAAAATGCTGGGCACATGGTAGACATCCACTAAATATTTTTGAATGAAGTAAGAAGCCTGGTCTATAGGCAACTCTACTTGTCTTCCCAAGGACAATTGCTATCTCTTTACATGATCAAATTGACATGTCTTTTTAAAAGAAACTGCTGTCTAGGCTATAAAAATATTATAGGATGTAGTGGAATGATAACTGAGGCTACAAACATATCAAATCAAGGTTAAAGGCACTGGATAAGGAAGATTATTACAAAGCATTGTAAACAATTTTCAAAGCAAATCAAGTTTTAAAGTATCAAATGTCTAACTGCTAAGAGTATTAAAGTGAATGACAATGTTTTAAAAACTGGACAAAATTTCTGTAATTTCACAAATAAAATTGTTTCATACCATTTTCTTTCAACCTGTATTTTCTACAATATTCCAAATCCTAGAAACAAATGTTTTCAGTTGCATGAAATATGAAAATTACAACTGAAATATCTCTGAAAATTAACCCTTTTAAGTTATATTATCAATTTAATATATAGACATTATAGAGATAATATGAACATCATCTTAGAAATCATAAAATAATAAATTACACTCAAAATCAGAAAAAAAGTTCTTATTCAGTTGAACCCAATCTAAAGCCCCACAATAGCAAATTGTAGTGTAAAGAGGCATACTAAGTACGATCTTTCTAGACACATAAAATAAAGAATAATGAATACTGAGTTGAAAATACCACAAGCTCCATGTTAGAGCCACTTAATATACACATTTTCACAACTGTTTCTTGAAAAACTAGATAAAATATTTAGCATTTATCAATTTTTAATTTATTTGAATCTACGCAACTTCCATCCATATTAAAATATCAATTAGTGTACTTTATTATAAAACTATTATACAATTTAAATTTTTATTAGAGAAATGTATTATTCACTATCCACAATTTCTTAAAGTCCTTTTCATGAATGCATTCCATAAGAAATACACTAAAATCATTATTTATGTTTCCTAGGGGAGAAAAACCTATGATAATCCTATTAATCCAAACTATTATCCTTATTATGCTTATTTCTTAAACATATACATGTTTAAATATGCTTGGTGAATAGTGATCATTCTTCCCCACAGTGGTAAATATCAGCATAATGTTAAATGACTGAGCTAGACAGTAAAATATTCACATGTAGATTACATAAACAGATACTTATTCTGTGACATGTAAGCTTACTTATAAAGTAACATAAAATGGGCATTGGATAACAGTGATAAAAATGTAAACAAACAATTAAATGTTAATCCTTTCCCTGAAAAACAAAAGATAAAAGCGCTTGTTTTATTAAAACAAAACCAAAGATGATCTACTGTATCAAAAAGGTAAGACACTGATTTTTACAAAACTGTATTTCCAAATATGGATAAAGAAAATCTAGAAAGCTGATTCACACTTTATTGAGCTAAAATGTGCAAAAAGTCTGGTAATACTTAAATTTATTAGATTCATTGTACATAGGCTGATACCATCCCATACAAAAAAGCCTCTTGTTAAAAGACTCAAAATTGTTAATTATCTGAGCTTAAAGACTTATTGAACTACTGTCCAAATAACAACAACAACAAAAGTCTATATTGTAGGAGAAAAAAGTAAAATTAAAAAATGACTATTTATTAGGACTTGAAATCCATCCCCACAAAAAAAGCTACAGCCAATACCCATTTAGGCAGTAGAGAAGAATATGAAGTCTTTATGAAAAATACTTATACTGACTCTAAGTAAAATTAAAAACAAATTTTGCTATAACAAAATGTATGTTAATTTTTTTTTTTAAGATTTTATTTATTTATTTGACACAGAGAGTTATAGCAAGAGCAGGAACACAAGCAGGGGGAGGAGGACAGGAAGAAGCAGACTCCCCACTGAGCAGGGAGCCCAATGCGGGGCTCAATCCCAGGACCCTGGGATTGTGACCTGAGCTGAAGGCAAACGCATAACGACTGAGCCACCCAGGCGCCCCAAAATGTATGTGAATTTTAAAGTAATTCAGGTTTAATAATTTACTAAGCATAGAATCCATAGAGCATTGGTACTTCTGTCTGTGCTCAGATATTTGCAAAGTACACTTAGAGAGGTTGGGAAGGTGAATAGACATAAAATTGTGATACTTTCCTCCTCACCAAAAAAAACTGCTTAGATTTAAAACTTTAATTTGTAATTCTAGGGGGAAAAGAGGGGGGAAAAGTCCAACAGCCCACAAATCTAAAACATTTTCCAGGAATATGGCAAAACTGTTAACTACTTAGATATGTTATTAGTAAATCAAAGTGCAAGTAAAGCTTTCATAAATATCTAACATATTTGTAAATTTAATTTCAAAGTTTTAAATGTTTTCAATAACAACTAGTTATTTTTTTAAAAAAGGTGGTAAATGTGAAACACATAATACTTAAAAATGTAATTTTTCCAGGAAAAATAGCATCCCCCAGCTATCACAAAATTAAATCATAATTTCTCTCTGGAATAGGATATAAAACTGCTTTGAGTAAGAGTGAAATAGAAGCATGGATTTAGATATGCACCAAACTCAGAGATGCACTAATTTACACGTAGTACTTTTGATAACACAACACTGGATGGTGTTCTTCACTACTTATTAGAATTCTGAGAAACACTTTTTAGCAACATCTATTTATACTACTGCTGAACTAAATGGGGACATATAAATACATGATTTTTAAATGAGAAAATTCTCAAAAGCTAAAGGAGAAATAAGACAAAGCTTCAATCATCTACCTTTTGAAGTTGCAGTTAAGAGGAAAAGGTATTATATGGTTTATAGCACTTTTCACAATGTAGTAATTCCAATTTCACATCAATGAAAGATTTTAAAAGAAAACCATTTTGTTCCTTGCAAATAACTTCTCTCTTCTAACCCTGGCAAGAATAATTAGTGACCTTAATTTCAAGATTTTTGTTGTTGTTGTTGTTCAATTATCTTTCTCATGAAGTATAATATATTGAAATATGCATATTAATGGAAATTAAAGAGAAAATCTGCTTTTGGAATGCAATAATTCTAAATCGCTTTACTAAGAAGCACCTTTTGATATGCTGGTCTGAACTTTTAATATAAAACCTGAACAGTACTTAACTGTTCTGAAGTAGAATTTTCTCCAGTTTTAGTAACTTCTTACACATATAGTAATACTAAGGACATCAACCTGTGCTTTCTAGATTTTTAAAAGTATTCTAATAATGTAATGAGTTTAGATATGGCTCATTGTCAAGGTTGGGTGGACAGAGATTTCATGACAAATTGGCTACAGAAAGCTAAATTAACTCTTAATGGCTGAATAATGGTTTGCATTTTGCTTCAGCCAAACAGATGTTTAAGCCATGACCACCACATTCCCTGCTTAAGATTCCTCTTTCTTTATTCTTCATAGTTTTCTAATGAACAATTAGTTTTCCTGAGTAAGATTATAAAAAGATAACCCTTCTACCAAAAGTATAAAGACAAAATGTAGACTCACAATATAAATTTTTTTACATAGCTTTACAAGTACAGAGATACTGACTGCTGTTCTTGATTGCTCCTTCCCTTAAAAAGACTGCAGCAAAGGATTCAATTGTCTAAAATACTTTGCAGTACGGTAATTAAATGCCTCAGCCCATAAACATATCCCTCATCTATTGTGTTGCTAGGGAACACATGAGCAAAATCTATCATTCGCACTTCTGCTTCTGAAATCTCTTGGCAACCAGTGGGAAGATGATAAAAAACTTTTTCCAGTTGGGAAAGTACATTTCCATTTAAATGTTCCTGTGACATGCTTTTCCACCCATTGTCTTGCTCTATATTTTCAACTTTCAATGAAGTCTGACTGTGATGCTTTTTTGAACACATTTTTCTGTGACGAGCATACATCTTGGACAAGCTTTTGCCTACTGAAGCATCTATTTTTCCATTCTCTGTGGAATTTAACACATGAAAGTTATTATTGTACTCCAGTACATCTGTGTCTGACAGCTGCCCTTTGGACAAAAACTTTTCTACCAAAGTTCTGTCATTTGATTTTGTAAGAGTGGGCCGAGATGAACCTTCATAAACAAACAGTAATGAACTTGCATAAAAGTTAAGTTGCTTCTGATTTTCAAACCACTGCAGAATATTTTCAATCTTCTGAATACTGGCAGCAATAGCATCTTTTCTTAAGCAGAATCCATTATGAAAAAATCTGGAGACTCCTATAAACAAGAAAATATTAGGATTATAATGAAATTACGAACAAGCTATCATGTGGGAAATAAACTCATCTTAGATACAATTCGTCAATTTCTTCCCTTTACCCCTTGCAGTTAGCCGAATAGGCAAAATTCTAGTCAGACATAGAAACCTGGACCACAACTTAATTTCTAGTGAAGATTCTTTTACTAGAAAATGACACTTATGTAAAGTGATATATACTATTTAGATTAAAAAAATTATTACACAAAGACTGGTAGTTTAGTTCTCTCTATATATATTCTCTTTAGGAATGTGATTCCAAGATTTGCTTCATTTGCTGGTGTGAGGGATTTATTTTTTACTAAGATTACCTGTTAGAATCACATTCAAGAGCTAATCTAAAACTTAGAGTCAAATTACAACTACTTGTAATGGCATCAATAGCCCATTACCAAAATACCAAATCATAACTATAATAAATCCTTTCTGTTCTTAATAATATTGATTAAATCAGTCTTCACAAAAGTTAAGCTCACTTTGGGAATCAATACTACCCCAGGTTGAATAGGTTATTCAAAATTGAGACTTTTACATGTTTTAACCTATCAGATTATTAAGCCCCTTTTAAAGTTATTTATGCCTATTTTATCCTATTTGAGAATTTACAGGCATATATAATTTCATTTCTGCTCTTAAATAGTTTGTTCCCCCACTCTGGGACAGAAATTGCTAAAGACGTATATTCACATTAGCCTGCAAAATATTTTAATAAAGAGCCAATCTGAATATTACCTGCTATTGGTTAAGTAAACCAAGGCAAATACTGTTAAGATCACACTGTGTATATTTGTTTTCTATATATAAAATTAATATTTTTCGGGGCGCCTGGGTGGCTCAATTGCTAAGCGTCTGCCTTTGGCTCAGGTCATGATCCCAGGGTCCGGGGATCAAGCCCCGCATCGGGCTCCCTGCTCACTGGGAAGTCTGCTTCTCCCTCTCCCATTCCCCCCTGCTTGTGTTCCGTCTCTCACTGTGTCTCTCTCTGTCAAATAAATAAATAAAATCTTTAAAAAAAAGGTTAAAATTTTTCTTCAAACTATTACACTACACATAAGCTCTTTCCCATCTTAGGCAAAGCTAAGAATAAACTTCTTAATAGAATATTATTTCCAGAAATCTATTAAGGTCTTATTGCTTTTGTAATAGCTTGGCTATAACTATTTTAGAGGCATGTATGTTAATTGACTTTAAACTACTTCTAATGCCATTTATTTATTATGTAGTTCTAGAAGCTTATAATATACAGCTAAACTAGACATGGGAGATTTCGATAAAAATACATTACATACAACAATACACACTTTAAAGTCTCTTATGTAAAAAGCAGTTTTAATACACTATGATTTACATACTAGGATTTGAAAGACAACCTCTAGTTTCAGGACTCAAACTATATGGCTGGTTCACAGATGTTCATTATTTTTTTATGTATAATAATAAATAAGAAATGTGCTAAAATGTAAAAGAAGGCATTCACGGATCCCTGGTTTTGGTGTATTATAAACCAGGGATTATGAATAATTCAATTGTGTAAATTTAAGGATTTATGTTTATTTATTATGGATTGAGTCATTTTACCATCATTATACCAAAGAATTAAGGTTGAAATTACTTTAGAATTATTTTGATAACTGTGCAGCAATAAAAGTATTGAAATAGGTTTTTCAATCCTTACCATCCTTTAGAGTTTCTTTTGTTAAGCTTCTTCCATAGTGCTGGTTTTGTGTCTCATAGCTGTCAGAATGAACATGGTAAACCTGTGAGAAAAAGCACTGAATATTAAAAACTAATCGTCCTTGACCATGTGGGGTTTACCCAGCAATGCAAGGATAGTTAAAGATGGGAAGATCTACTCATATTTCATTCTAATAGATTTAAGAAGAAAAAAAATCGTATCATATCAATGGATGCTGAAAAGGCAATTAAAAAATCTACATCCTCTATTGATGAAAACTCTTTAAAAAGACTGATGAATATTTCCAATATGAAAGAATTAGCGACATCAATCCACCAGAAGTTATCCTCAAGTTTGAAAAGGAAATAAGGAAACATCCTGTCCTAAAATACATGAAGCTTTCATAAGAAGTATTCTACCACAATGTTTTTTTTATCATCTATCTAATATTGTTCTGGAATTTCTAGCAAATATAAATAGACAAGAGAAAGGGTATAATAACTTAGAATGAAGGAGATAAAAATATCACTCTTTCTAGATAATGGTTGTGTATTGGAAAATCAACTGAAAAACTAATACAAACAATAAGAACTTGAAATGGTGACCAAGTACAAATTGGTACACAGAAATAAGCTTTCATATTTACAAATAATCAGAATATGTAATGCAAGACCCCACTTACAAGTGCAACAACAAAAAAATAAAACATAGAAATTAAGTAAGTGTAAGTCTATACAAAGATATCGTTTACACATTCCTAAGAACACCCATTGTTCTCAGAGAGGAAGCTCAACATCATAAAAGATATCAATTCTACTTAAATTAATCAACAACTAAAATGAGATTATAATAAAACAACTTTTTTTAATCATACAAGCTAATTCTGAAGTTCATGTTAAGAAAAACAAGAACAGGCAGGAAATCCAAGTTCAAAAATTACATTTGGCTACAGGAAAATTATTTTTATAAGAAGAATTAAGTATATCCAAAATGTGTTTTAAAAAAAACCACTCATGTTCTCTACACATAAATAGGTTTAAAAGAGGATTCTTGAAAAATATAAACAAATTAATTAAATAAAAGAGAATTTCCAATATGATAGAGGTATTAGCTAACCTAATGCTAAGGTGGTAACCATATTGTAATATATAAATGTATCAAATCAACATGTTGTACACCTTAAAATTACATAATGTTATATGTCAGTTATATTGCAATAAAAAAGGATGAAATTGAGAAAATAATCTGAATAAATTAATACAAAAATATGAGAAGAATTTTCAAATACACAGTTATGTGAACATAAACTAGAAAATGTACAAAAAAACCATGATTTTCAAAATAAAACCTTTTTTACTAATTCAGGGGTGTAATTATCTGAGCTAAATTATATTTCACATATGAGAATCTAAATTTCACCTACAGACTAAAGTTAAATAGTTTTAGTGGAACTCCTTTATTGATATTCTCTCTTCATCTATTTCTAACTTTACAGTTAACACTGGAATGGGAAGAGATAGGAGAATTTCTCCATCTCTACCGACTGCCCAGTCTTGGTCAGCAGCAAAGATATTTGTAAATCAAAAGTTACACACCAACCTTGAAAACATCTAAATATGTAGCAAAAAAAAAGATTTTTTTAATAGAAAGGAAAGTTGGGAGACATGAGTAGGGCAGAATAATGAGCAAAAACTGGGGAGCCTGGCTGGCTCTGTCAGTGGAGCCTACTTAAAAACAAACAAAAACAAAAAACAAAACAACAACAAAAAACAAGCAAAAGGAAGTTCTAGCACTTCCTGGATTACATTTCACCATAAGTGAAATATAAACATTTTATGTGAACTTACGTCTGAGGCAAACAAATACAAATATCTTTAGCAAAACACCTTCCTATTAAGTCAATTCAAATTTGAAAGGTTACTATCATCCATTATTATAAAGAAAAAAAGATATACAGAGTCTGATCTTTAGACAATGTGATCAATAAATACCAAAAGAGAAGAATCTTTTCCCCAAGTAACTAGGAACCAGTGATTAAGAAAAGGTACTTCTCTCCAAAAAGTATGTTAAAACTTTAAGCTGTTGCCAAAAATATACTGGAACATCTGAAAATTAAATCATTTAAAGTCTTGAATTATATGTTTTTGTTTTTGTTTTTTTAAGATTTTATTTATTTATTTGACAGAGACACCGCGAGAGAGGGAACACAAGCAGGGGGAGTGGGGGAGGGAGAAGCAGGCTTCCCGCTGAGCAGGGAGCCTGAAGCAGGGCTCGATCCCAGGACACCAGGATCATGACCTGAGCCGAAGGCAGACGCTTAATGACTGAGCCACCCAGGCGCCCCGAATTATGTTTTAAAGAAATTTTAGGTAAATTTCTACAAACTACATTGTAATTACTTTTAGCTAATAAATATAATAAATTCCTGTAATTACATAGCTCTTGTTTTCAAAATACAAAACTGGAAAATTAAACAAGAATGTATACAATAGTCAATCCATAAGGACACTATTTCAAAACCCAGTAAGTCCTAAAGCAGGTTGCTGATATACTAACTTCTCTCAAGTCTGATACTAAAATATACACCCCACCTACCTATATGCAGTATGTTTCAGTCACCTTACATAAACTCCTGTCTCACAATATGCAATTTTCTACCTGTTACTTTCCCTTGTTGCCAGTTCAAAAGACAGGTATCACCTGCTTTTCAAGTTTGTGTGATGCCACTTTACTTTTACAAAAGAACTACATTAGTATCCGTTTTTGCTAACCAAAAGAGGTCCAAAGAGGATTTTCACTTCTATAAAGAAAGGCAAAAAGTGAAAATAGTGTTCAGCCTTTGTTTTGTAGTAACTGTTATAGAGGCAACAGCAAGAACAGCACCACCAAACTCCTTCCCAGGGAACTGCACTCAGCATTCCAGCATCACGCAGCCATACCTCTGAACTGTCTGTGAGTATCTGTGCTTTATCTTGATGAATTTTGTGCATCCATTAGCAAGATGTAGCCCAAGGTATCAGAAAAGCCTGAGGGGTTATTTTTTGGGTGTGGGAACACTCAAAATTTTTCCATATAAATTATGGTAACTGAGTTTTCACTTGATGCCATTTCAGATTACAAAAAGTTTCATGGGAACACTACTTTCAGAGAGCAGGGAAAAACTGTACCATCTTTTCTAAAGTCACTCTATAACCCTCTTCTCTTGACTCCCTTGCTCTTATAGGCCCTACTCTGTTTCTATGTCTTTTGTAACACATATCTCAATAAATCTTGTTATTAAATCAATGATAAGTCTTTTATATTTTAAAGATTTTTTTTCATTTTTTAAGTCATCTCTACACCCAGCATGCGGCTCAAACTCACAATCCTGAAACCAAGAGTTGTATGCTCCACTAACTGGGCCAGCCAGGCACCTAAAAATTAATCTTTTTTTTTTTTAAAGATTTTCTTTTCTTTTTTTAATTTAAATTTTAGTTAACATACAGTGCAATATTGGTTTCTGGAGTAGAATTCAGTGATTCATCACTTACATACCATACCCAGTGCTCATCACATCAAGTGCCCTCTTTAATATCCATCTAGCCCATTCCCCACCCTCCTCCCTCCATCAACCCTCAGTTTGTTCTCTACCATTAAGAGTCTCTATGGCTTCTTTCCCTCTCTCCTTTATTTCTTTTTCCCCTTCCCATATGTTCATCTGTTTTCTTTCTTAAATTTCACATGAATGAGCTCATATGGTATTTGTCTTTCTCTGACTTATTTCACTTAGCATACTACATTCTAGCTCCATCCATGTTGTTGCAAATGGCAAGATTTATTTTTGAGTCTAATCATATACACCATCTTGGGATCAATGAAATATAGTATAATTACTGAAAGTCATTAAATATAAAGAATTCCTAGAGGCACCTGGGTGGCTCAGTAGGTTAAGCATCCAAATCTTGATTTTGGTTCAGGTCATGATCTCAGGGCCGTGAGACTGAGCCCCGTGTCAGGCTTTGCGCTGGGCATGGAGTCTGCTTAAGATTCTCTCTCTCTTCCTCTGCCCCTCCCCCTGCTTGCGCACCCTCTCTCTCTCAAAAATAAATAAATAAATAAATATAAAAAAATAAAGAAAGATCCTAAATCAGCACAGAAAATTGGCAAGTTAGGGCGCCTGGGTGGCTCAGTTGGTTAAGCGACTGCCTTCGGCTCAGGTCATGATCCTGGAGTCCCAGGATCGAGTCCCACATCGGGCTCCCTGCTCAGCAGGGAGTCTGCTTCTCCCTCTGACCCTCTCCCCTCTCATGCTCTCTATCTCATTCTCTCTCTCAAATGAATAAAAAAAATCTTTAAAAAAGAAAAAAGAAAAAAAAGAAAATTGGCAAGTTATTCTAACCACAAAACCTCTTCTACTACTGGCTGAACACAATAGAAAAATATTTAAATATATTTTAAACATTTGATATATTTGATAAACTTCAGTCTAGTCAGTGCTATCAAGGGATTTTTTTGTTTAGAGGCATGACTTTCCTGCGGGAAAAATTTTAAACTTTAGAGTATTCATTCTAAAATTACCCAACTCTGGGGCACCTGGGTGGCTCAGTCATTAAGCGTCTGCCTTCCGCTCAGGTCATGATCCCAGGGTCCTGGGATCGAGCCCCACATCGGGCTCCCTGCTCTGCAGGGGGCCTGCTTCTCCCTCTCCCACTCCCCCTGCTTGTATTCCCTCTCTTTCCGTGTCTCTCTTTGTCAAATAAACAAATAAAATCTTAAAAAAAAATAAGATCAAATTATCCAACTCTATTATTAGTCTATAAATCCACTGTGACTAAAGAGTTCAATGAATTTACCACCTTCCAAAGAAATAAACTATGAAAATTTTAACCTTAACATTATTCCTATTAAAATTCAAAGTTTATCTCCTAATCTGAATATCCTAGAATTGTATAAGTAAATCTATATTCACATAATTTTCATTTATTATCTCATACTTCAATCATGTCCTTTCTCAGATAACTGAACAATATGTTAACTATTGTATAAAGGAAGTTATGAGTACAAAAATAACAGGAACACAAACTGATCCAGTATGATCGCCACCAAAATCCGAACTGGCATTTTTTTGCAGGAACTGACAATTACAACTTAATCCTAAAATTCATGTGTAAATTTAAGGAGGATCCAGAATTAGTCAAAACAATCTTGAAAAAAGGAAGAATAAAATTAGAGCTGTCACAATTTCTGATTTCAAAGCTTACTCCAAGGCTACATTAATAGTGTGGTTCCAAAAAAATATTTGCAAATCATATATTTGATAAGGAATTAATATCTAAAATATAAAAGTACTCACACAATGTAATAGAAAAAAATCTAGTTAAAAAAATGGGCAGAGGAACTAAATAGACATTTTTTCCAAGGAAAATATCCAAATAGCGAACAGGAACATCAAAAGGTTCTCAACATCACTAATCTCAGAGAAACACAAATCAAGACCACAATGACATTACCTCACACCTGTTAGAATGGCTACCATCAAAAGGGAATTACACTCCTTCCCTGGGAATTATACTCAGCATCTCAGCATCAAGCCACCAGACCTTTTATGGAAAACAGTATGGAGGTTCCTCAAAAAATTAAAAATAGAACTACCACATGATCCAGCAATTCTACCTCTGGGTATATATTCAAGAAAATGAAAACAGAATTATCAGAGAGATAATTATCATAGAACTAGGGGGAGTTGAAAGACTGGAAGAAAAAGAGGGGTGACTGCTAGTAGGTATGGCATTTCTTCTGAGGGTGATAAAAATATTCTGAAGTTGAATGTGGTGATGGTCGCCCAACTCCACAAATATACTAAAACCAGTGAACCATATATTTAAATGAGCGATTTGAAGGATATGTAAATTATATCTCAATAAAGTTGTTATTAAAAAAATACAAACAGAAGAACTACTTCTCTACCACATACCCCAAGAATGCCAAATCACACAATGTCTTATTTATCCTCTGTATATGTACCCTAAAGGTAACGGAAACCCACTGAAGAGTTTTTAAATAGGGTAATGTCCTAATTAGATATACCTTTTGCAATGTTTGATGAACAGACTGGAAGAGAGCAAAACTGAACTTGAGAGATCAATTAAGAATAGAATCTGGAGAGGGATAATGGGACTCAAGAGATGTTTGGGAATTAAGATCAATAGAACTGATGGATGGTTCTGAGATGTGATAGTACTCCAAGTTTTCGCCTTTGTAAAACTGTATGTATGGTGATGCCATTTACTGGGATAGGGAATAATGGAGATGTTACTATTGTTGTGGTTGTTAGTTTGCAAAAGGGATGTGTGTCAGTTTTTAATGTATTCATTCTAGCTGTCTTTACATTATCCAAGTAAAGGTCAGATTAGGAGAGCAAAGAAAAACCAGAGGCAGAAGACATACATTATTATATTACATTATATTACACATATACATGTTACCAGTGTAAGTGAAAATGAACCAATTAAGAACAAAAGACACTGCTTAGGAAGAAACAGAAAGAAAAATGAAGGAGTAAAACGGAACTGAACAGAATACCTCAACATTTAAAGAATAAACAGAAAGAAACAAGGTGGTAAAGAAGACTGCAAAGTGGTCTTAGGAAACAGCCAGGAGAGGGTGTCATGAACACTCGAGGAAAAGTTTTAAGGAGGACTTAGTTAGCTTTGAAAGCTGCTTTTCAAAGTAAAGTGAGTAATGAAAAATGTCATTTGGACCTAGTAAGAGTGAAGATTGTTAAGGTCTTTAGGGACCTTAATGAGGAGCAAATCTGGAGGGATGATCAAACAGAAGCCAGACCTGAATAAGTTTAAGGATATTGAGTGGAGGGGTGCCTGGGTGGCTCAGTCCATTAAGCGTCCGACTCTTCATTTTGGCTCAGGTCATGATCTCAGGGTCATGAGATCGAGCCCTGTGTCAGGCTCCGAGTTCAGCACAGAGTCAGCTTGAGATTCTCTCTCTCCTTCTCTCTGCCCTTCCCCCCACTTGCAGGATGCACATGCGTGCTCTTTCTTTCAAATAAATAAATAAAATCTTTTTTTAAAAAAATAAAAGAACACTGAGTGGAAACACAATAGAAATAACTAGTTCAGTTGCGAAGGGGAGGCAAGTCAAATCCACTGCTGGAGAGCAGAGCACAGTAAAGGCAGGTTTTGAGGTTTTGTTACTGGAAACATTGAGTAATTTGAGCATATTCAAAACAAAGTTAAAGAGTCAGTAGATAGAGACAGAAATTGAAGATATAAGAAAAACAAGAGAGAATCAATAGCATTAGGTTCCTGAAGAGGTGGTAGGACTGAGGTCCAGAGGACACAGGGAAGGGCTATGCTTAGACTAGAGGATGAAAAATTCTTCAATGTGACAGGAAGAAATAAGAGGGAATGAAAGTACTTGCAGGTTAGGTATGTACATCTGTTAGCAGAACATTAAAGGAAATCCTGTCTGATAGCTTTTATTTTTCCTGAAGCAGAAGGTAAATTCATCTGCTAAGAGTGAGAAGGAAAGTGGGAGGGTGAGAGATCTGACAACAGTGAAGGTTTAAATAGTTGCCCAGTTATAGTACTGTGGGATGTTTATTCCTTGTTTAACATTATTCCATTACCCTTTTTTTTCTTTACCATATACCCACAATTAATTATAGTTTTCTAAATGAAATACCTGTACAACATTTCTTTGGTTTTATTTAAAATCAGAATACCAAATTCAACTGTGCTGTTATTACCATCACATTAACAATTCATCTATAATACTTTTGTATTATAGTTTAAAAGTCAAAAGGAACACCTATATATATCATCTTACATGATGAATTTCAAAACTGGCCATTATGCTTATATAGGTAAGCAATCATTTACCATATATACAAATTTTACCTCCATACAGCTAGAAGGCATACCATTTATTCAGAGGATTTTATTCCACATTACTTAACTGTGGCATACTGTTTGCAAAGATGGCCTGAACAATCCTTCCCATCCTTGTGTGCACTGCCGTTTATATTATGACTTCTCTATTCCCACCAACAGAAACGGAGTCTATTTCTCTTCCCTATCAATATGGGCTGGCCCTGTGATATACTTTGTCCTACAGATGTGACATCAAATGACTTCCTAATGTAGATTTCAAGAGACCTTAGGGCTCTCAATCTTGCCTTCTTGGAATATGAAGAAGCTCTGGCTAGCTTTCTGGAACATGAGAGATCACAGGGAAAAAGGCCCAGGCAACAGTACGATCTCCCAGACATGACAGTGAGGTCATTGTAGACCATCTAGCCCTATAGCCGGGTCATCAAATGAGCAGAGCCATGTGAGGGACCCTAAGTGAGATCAGCAAATTGTCTACCTGAGCCCAACTCAAACTGTCAACCAACAGAATCATGAGCAAATAAAACAACTGTTTTTTTGTTTTTTTAAAAACAACTGTTTTAAAATACAGTCTGAAGAAATAACCTAATTTTAAATTTCCCTTTTCTATTTTAAAAATACAGAAAAAACTGAATATATAAACTTATTACTTTTCTCACGGAAAAATCATAAATAATATCACATTTACTTATCACATTATTTTGCACCTAAACTTAAGCTTCTTTGAAACAAAATTACCAGAGTCAGGGTCTTGTGGTTCAGCCATTCATTCATTAATTATATACTATGTGTCAGAATAACTCCAGACACTGACCATATATTAGTGAACAAAGGAGACTAAAACCCTGCCTGCATTGGGGAGATACGGACAACCCAAATCCAAAATATATTATCTTCTAATATGTAAGTATTATAATAACATCTATATTTTTCAAAGGAGGAACATGTAAAGAGAAATGTTACCAATAATCACTCTTACCCTCATGCCAAGCACCAAGAACCCAATCTCTTCCATTAAAGGATACTTGCTGACCTGTTGCTTAATCTTCTCAGATGAGGCAAAAGGATCATAACTCTTTCGCCCTATCTTTACATCCATTATACAGGGCTTATTAAATTTATGGGTCACATCTTCCAGTTTTAAGTATAAATCTGTTATTAAAGAAAAACCTTAATTAGTAATAAGCAAACATACTACTACCCAAATAACTGCCAGGGGAAAACAAAATGAGGAAATCTTAAAACTTAGAAAAAAATTAAAGCCAGAGTCAATAATTATTATTACTCTGAAAAAAAAAATGACCAACAAATTTGTAACAAGTATAAATATCACAGAGAAACTCTTGCAGGAAGTGATTAAATAATATTCAATCATAAGCAAAAGGATGAGATAGATATAAGGTTTCTAAGGACATTAAAATGAAATTATTTCAAAAGCTGTTTCAGAATGCATTACCCTTTTGAATACATTTTATGTCATCTGTGCCTTAGCAGATCTCTTAGTATTTTAATAATTCTTAAAAATCTTCATTTAAAATTAGTAATAGGAATAAATCCTTCCCACAGAGTACACAACAGAAGTATAGTTTAAGAAATGTAAATCAATCTAAATTATGGTCACTGCCAAATATATATTCTAGTCTTACTAGTTGCAAAAGAAAAATAAATATCTTGCTTAGAATATATGCATTCATCAAAAGCTCACCTGTAAACTACTTTGGCATCCTGCATACATCTTCCCACAGAAAACTATTATAAATGGAGATTCAAGTAAAAGATTATAAAAGTTCCAGTTATTACATACTGAAGCTGAACTAATTACAGCTTAGCTTGAAAGTAAAGTCTAGGTACACTGACGGAAATTCTCTCTTTACTTGATAGAAGGAAGGAAGGAAACGAAGGAAGGAAATTCTCTCTTTACTTGATGAAAGAATCTTCCCAAAGTTCTGACTGAGATCACAACTTTCAGTTATGAATATATGAAGCACTTCTCCCAAAACCTTTTTCTCAAAAACAGAAAAGATTTTATCTGCTTTTTACCAAAGTAGCAAAGTTAGAGAAGGTATGTATTTTCTATGAATTAAATAAAAGGCCACCAGAGAAAAAAGAAGACTTAACGTCTTTTCCTTTACCTTGACCCACCAAGCATAGTTATTAACTTACAACAAGAAAGTCTGTGTTGAACTAAAAGTGAGAACAAACCTGGTAGAGCTTGTGAAAGTTTTAAGCCCCTCAGATTTAAGGGGCATACATCTTTTCCTTGAAAGGATAAGAAATAAAGAGGTAAGTTTTATTCCTTAATCAAAGGAAGATGGGGGCAAGGTCATGATTTTGTAGAACTAGGTGAACTCAAGCCCAAATATGACAAAAAACTACACCCTAAGAAACCAGCCCTGGCACACAGGAAGAAGTATGACACATTCTAAAGAAGGACTCTCACAAACAGACATGTTCAACAAGAGAAAACAAAAGGTCTGGACACAGACACAGGACTGTTGACAGTGAAAGGTAATGGCACAGTGGGAATATCCTGATCAAGAAATTGGAACCCACCCAAGCTTCTGTGCTTTAAAAGGTACCCACAGGACAGGGTGAGAAGATGGGGAAGAGAGCAGCACACAGCAGCCCCCTTCACATTCTCTCCTCCCCTCTCCAGCCACCTTGAGCCAAAGTGAAGGAAAGAGATCCATCCTTTTCCTATAGCTGTGTAAAAATTTCAGTAACAAGGTTTATATTTCAAATATCAGAAAAGACGAATTAGAACCTAGTACGGTAAATCACTGACATTCACAAGTGTATCATTAATTTCTATAACTCAAGAGGCCCCAAAAGTCTTCCTGAGGTGAGGCGATGTATGGGAGTATAAAGATAGCGAGTGAACTTTTAGCTAAGTATCATAGCATCTTTACCTCCGTGTAGGGTTATTATTTTCTACTTGCCAATTTGGTAGTGATTAAAAACAAACAATAAACTGTTTTTTGGTAATAAGGTAGAGATGCCAGAAGTGAGAGTAGATTACAAATCTTAATATTAAAATCTCTATTTCCTCCTCCCCTCTTGGGAAGGAGGAAAATACAAATGCAAATCCCATATACAGTAGGAATACAATAAATATTTGCTGAATGAATGAATGTTTGCCTTTCTCATTTCTACTGCCCAGTGGGACTTTGGGTTTGGCCTTACTAACACTATAATAACTGAGTCATTCCTTCAGTAAACAGGCCTGAGCTTCTTGGGTTTTATTTGACATTTATTTCAACTAGCCAAATGTGTTTTTACTTTACCTTACTTTCAGGTTCTTGATATGTGATATATGACTTGAATTACCAAATAACTACTAAATTATTAATAGCTTTAAGTAAATAACCCTTAAATTAAGGCCTACTGAGTTGGCTTAGTGTTTTTCTTTTAGTTCCCTGGCCTTGATATTTTTTTTAAGTGAAATTAAGAATTTGAGACTATAATTTCTATCCTTCCCTCTAAGTTGTAAAAATAAACATCAAAACCTGCTTTAGAGATGCAGATTTTTAAGGCTATAATGTCATATATCTAGCAGTTTGCTACACAAGTGCTTTTGAATGAAATAGGTAAATAGGAAAATGGGGCATGATCTGAGCACTGAGATCTTTACTGATTTTTTTTTTTTTTTTACAGGTTGTTATCACTAGAGATGTCTGAATACTAATTCTCTCTGAAAAATGCTATTAGCAAATTATTTCGCTAGCATAGAGCTTAATTCAAAGTAGGTCAATCTTGAGATTCAGTACTTTAAATGCTCAAAGGCATTTTACTACAGGGGAGTTTCACTTGTAAGGCAATGCCGCAGACTGGATAGCAAAGGACACTTTTTCAGCGAGGCCCCTCTGGGTATAGAATGGAGCAGTATTTTTTAATTTTCAGGTAAACAGAATGTTCTAAAACTCACCCAAAAAATCGGATGGACTAAAAATAAGATAAATGTTCTATCTGGAATAGTTTTAAGTCTCTTCTGACCAAGGTCAAGGAAATAAACTACTTTAATATGATGTTTGGAAAACAATTACGATATGATTATTTAATATGATGTAACTTGCAAGATATGATTTTGAATGAAGAGAGATGATTTTTACATATATATGCATATACATATGTATATTTGTATGTTGTATACATCATAAATATTGAAAGGATAATAACTAGATTTACTTTTTTAAATTCTGAAAAGCTCTATTTAGGACAACAGATTCTGATAAAGCCAGTCTGCCAGGGGTCAAAGGACTGGCATTTGTGAAACTCAGATCTAAGGAGATATTCTGTAAAGGCTACTCTTGGTTTTTGTATAATAAATAAAAGGACATCTACTTTTCATAAATACGTGGAGCTCATTACAAGAGGTCACACTAACTAGACATATAGTTAAGTTTAAGAGGCTATGGCTATAAAAGATAAATCTATTATTTATCTATTAATTTATGAGAAGTATACACAGAATTTCTATAGTTCATTAATTTTTGGAGGTAAAGATCATGAAAATAACTACCAGGTATTCAGAAATACACCACTTCATGCTGTTATAAGCAGATTACTGAGTAAGATTTCTCAGTGGCTTTACCAATGACATGGTTAGCGTGCTCAAAATATTTATATACTTCATGCTGTTGATGACCGTGTAAGATTACCCAAGGTTACTATGGCTGAAGGACGCTTCCTATTTTAAATATATTTTCTAATTAAATATGTATAATTAAATATAATTACCTTTAATATAAATTAAATATAATTGTTTTGTAATACATTAAGCACAAAAAATTCCTATAGCAAATTTTCTACTGCTGGAATATATTCCTGACACTCTAAGAAAGAGGCAGAAAATTCCCAGTATCAAAAGAGAAAAAAATAGAAACATTTGAAATACTGTGGAAAAACTGAGACATATAACTAAACAGTAAAGATAATTAGTTCCTTAGACTTATTTAGATGCTCTTACTGAATATTACTGATTATATAAATTATGAGGATATGGGTTCCGAGTTTCATCAAATTCTTCCTCACCATCTCTATAAAGTCTACTAGGTATTGGTTACCATCTTCATTTCTGAACCTCTCAAAAAGGAGAAAAGGCCAGAAGAAGAGCCCCATTCCAACTATGAAGCCATATGGAAAAACAGACAAGGCCTTGCTTCTGCTCTCCGCTGCAATCATCGGTCATTTCTAAAAGCAAGATAAACTGAAAGTAGAAAGAATTATAGGCAGAGACCTTGAGCCTCCAAATTTGACATAAGTGTGAAGGAGAGAACAGACATGTATGACAGCTTATTTCAGGGCATGCTTCCTAAAATTTGACTAGTAGCTAGATCCAGAAACCTAACAATTAATCAGGCTGCCGGAGATTACATTTAAAAACTCTAAATTTGCTCAAACCCACTTGAAGATATACTTTTCTATCTCCCTAAATAACTATCAATAAAAGGCTTTTGATGGTACATGTACTAGGCATTTATGTTTATACAGATACAGATGAGATTTAATATATATAACTAACTCAAAGTCTTCAAAGATAATTCACAAATGTTTTAACTTAAAAAAAATCATTGGTCATGTTCTAAAATTAGTTAATAGTGATGATTGTACAACTCTCTGATTATACTAAAAACTACTGAATTGTATACTTTAAATGAGTGGGTTTTATGATACATAACTTATATCTTAATAAAGCTATCATAAAAAAATCAAAAGAAAAAAACCTCATTGGTCAGCACATTCTTATGCTTCACTGAAGTTAACAATAATTTGCTAAGCAAATTGGTAGTACTTTCTACATTTTACTACTCTGGGTTATAAGAACTATGTCAAGCTTTATAAAACTACCGTGAGCACCTAAAAAAAGATGCCCAAGGCGGGGGGCGGGGGGGAAGGCCAGTTATTCCTATGTAAAATACAGTAATGCAAATCACAGTGTTCTAAAATCTAAGAAAATATTTGGTTTCATGATATATTTATATTTATTTCATTATCAAAAGGATAAAAATAGAAAAATGATCCCATGAATTCCCTAGTAAAATCAAAGCTAAACACCTGCATAGTGCAACAATTTTTGTCTAATTTCCTCCAGAGCTAAAAAATTGAAAAGGAATTAGGAAATCCCGAGGCAATTGTTGGTATTACTGAACCATTCTGTACACATATACTTTTTTATTCCTGTCCTTTTCCCCCTTTTATTTACATTTTCTCCTCTCTCCTCTCATTTTCCTCACTTCATCTTCTTATCCCAGTAGCACCAATTTCTCCATTTATAGTCAAATAAGAATATTAGAATTTTCAAGGCCTTCTTACATAACATGCATCCTCTCAAATCTATATGGTATTATTTTCAATTTTTGGAAGAAAAAGTAGAGCTCAAGAAGGTTAATGAGTTAACCAACTTCACAAAATTTGGAAAAAATCAAGGTAAAAAAGCAAGTCTTTGGGGTGCCTGTGTGGCTCAGTTGGTTAGGTGACTGCCTTCGGCTCAGGTCATGATCCTGGAGTCCCAGGATCGAGTCCCGCATCGGGCTCCCTGCTCAGCGGGGAGTCCGCTTCTCTCTCTGACCCTCCCCCCTCTCATGTGCTCTCTCTCTCTTTCTCTCTCTCAAATAAATAAATCTTTAAAAAAAAAAAAGCAAGTCTTTTGACTTCAAACTTACTGCTCTTTCTGTTTTAGCACAGATGTCCCTCTATTTAGTACTGAAAACCAAAAAGTTTGTCGATTGCTAGCAAGTCCTTGATTTTTAAATCATATGCTAGTAATTCCAAACTATAAAATGTTATTTTTAATTGAAATACTTCTCTCACCCAGATTCTTTCTGTATATTCTACTTTTCAAAATAATGATGCTGTTTGAGTATGGAGGTTCTTCAAAAAGTTGAAAATAGAGCTACCCTACAACCCAGCAATTGCACTACTGGACATTTACCCCAAAGATACAAATGTAGTGATCTGAAGGGGCACATGCACCCCAATGTTTATAGCAGCAATGTCCACAATAGCCAAACTATGGAAAGAGCCTAGATGTCCATCAACAGATGAATGGATAAAGAAGATGTGGTATATATACACAATGGAATAAAATCTTGCCATTTGCAATGATGCAGATGGAACTAGAGGGTATATGCTAACCGAAATAAGTCAATCAGAGAAAGATAAGTATCATATGATCTTACTGATATGAAGAATTTGCAAAACAAGACAGAGGATAATAGGGGAAGGGAGGGAAAAATGAAACAAGACAAAACCAGAGAGGAAGACAAACCATAAGAGGCTCTTAATCTCAGGAAACAAACTGAGGGTTGCTCGAGTGGAGGGGGGTGGGAGGGATGGGGTGGTTGGGTGATGGACACTGGGGAGGGTATGTGCTATGGTGAGTGCTGTGAATTGTGTAAGACTGTTAATCACAGATCTGTACCCCTGAAACAAATAATACATTATATGTTAATAAAAAAATAAAAAAAAAATGATGCTGTTTGCTCAGTTATTCTACCCCTTCCTAACAATGTTTTTAAACTGAGTATTTACTTATCTAGATGTCTAATCTAGTACCATCCTCAGCAACCTTCGTTAATCTTTCACTGTCACTTTACTGATAAGTATTGATTTGCTCAAAATTAAACAGCAACCAGTAGCAAAATTTAATGGAATCCAGTTATCTTATGTTACAATGGAAACCTCTACAAAGTAAAGGTGATCATAAAGATTTGTGAAATATTTAAGTAACGTGCTGATCTGAATCAGGGATATACTGTACATTTGGGATGAAAAAGACAAAGAAAAGAAAGAAGGGAGGGAAAGAGAAAGGAAAGAAAGAAAGAGGAGGGAGGAAGAAAAGAGAAAAGCTAAGCTCACTTTCTTTTTTTCATATTACTGAAATACAGAAGAATCCTAAATATCCGGGGAATCATAGATTTACTATTACCTAACTGAGGATACTCAGGGAGATACCATGATTCCCTACAAATGACACTTCCACACCTAGTAAATGAGTATTAGAAAAACAACTGATGAACAAGCGCAAGCTGGAGCCCCTTCTCTCCCTGTTCTCAAAATGCAGTTCAAGTACTATCTACATCTAAAAAAGTGTAGCTTTTTTTTTTTAACAAGCACATCACTAAACTCCAACATTGATCTGCATAATAAAAAAACTGGGAGTTGAGCCTATTAATTTACATTTTAACAAGCCTCTGGGTTATTCTCAAACTCAGTCAAGTTTGAAACTCTTCACCCATTCAAGAACCTTCTTCAATCATTAAGTAGTCATGCTACTTGTTTACTTAATTCTGTCTGCTCTGTCAAAGGCTTTGAAAAGGCAAATACTCCTTCAGGTACTCATTAAGAAAGAGATGCTGTGCCCTTACATAGATCATTTTGTCCTCTAACCGTGAAACTTAGCGGTATTTTTTTAAAAGATTGCAATTTTTTTTTTAAGGGGGAGGGGAGCAGGAGCAGGAGAGAGAATCTTAAGCAGGCTCCAAGCCCAGCATGGAGCTCAATCTCACAACCCTGAGATCATGACCTGAAATCAAGAGTCAGCTGTTTAACTGAACCACCCATACACCCCTAAATGACTGCAATTTAAAGCCTAGAATGCGATACAGAGGGAGTTACATAAAGAAAATATTTTTCTTGATTTTCCTACTCAAAATGGAAAAAGAAATTGCCCAATAAATTAGGAAAAAAGAACATCTATAAATTAACACAGTATTAAGTACATAGATTTTTGTATTCTATTATAACAAATTGGTCATTAATTTTTTTTTAAGACATTTATTTTAGAGAGAGAGAAAGAATGTGCACATGTGAGTGGAGGATGGGGGTGAAAGGGCAGAGGGAGAGGAAGGGAGAGAGGGAGAGAAGCAGACTTCCTGCTGACCATGGAGCCGACAGGGGGCCGGATCTCATGACCCTGAGATCATGACCTAAGCCCATATCAAAAGTTGGACGCTCAACTGACTGAGCCACCCAGGTGCTCCATTGGTCATTAATGTCATACACCATTTAAGAAACTGGGTATGAAAAGCAAAAGTAGGGGCGCCTGGGTGGCTCAGCCAGTTAAACATCTGCCTTCAGCTCAGGTCATGATCTCAGGTGTCTGGGATGAAGCCCCACATCAGGCTCCCTGCTCAGCGGGGGGCCTGCATCTCCCTCTCCCACTGCTGCCCCCTCCAACTGCTCATGCTTGCTCTCTTACTTTCTCTCTCTCTCTCAAATAAATAAAATCTTAAAAAAAAAAAGTATTAGGAAGATTTCCTTAATGAAGTAGAGAAAAGACTACAAAGAAAAACATATATTCTGTCTGTATAAAACTCGGCTTAATTTTATACAAAGCCTTTTAAAAAGCCACTCTCAGGTCATGATCTCAGGGTCCTGGAATCAAGTCCCGCGTCAGGCTCCCCTGCTCAGTGGGGAGTCTGTTTCTCCCTCTGCCTGCTGCTTCCACTGCTTGTGCACTGTCTCTCTCTCTCTCTCTCTCAAGAAAAATAAGTAAAGTCTTAAAAAAAGTAAAAAAATAAAAATAAAAAGCCACTCTCATGAATTAATAGTAAAGGATGAATTTTTAAGAAAAGATTACCGTTTGGTGCAGTGGGAGGTGACCAGATGCCATAATATTTTGGCAAATATTTTCGTAGCTCTAAAAGAATTCCATCAGTACAGTCAGCAGCATAAACCTGAAACAAAGAGAAATATAACATTTGCATGATAGTTTCTTATAATGCTTTACAATCGCCCTACACATTTCTCAAATAAAACAATACTGTTGAATCATAATTCATCTCGTATGAGTTTCAATTGGAATTACATTTGGAAGCAAAAAAAAAAGATTACTGTGTGTCTCCAACAAAAAAGTATGTATTGTTTAGAACACATTTTTCTTGGTTATCTAATTCTAGCCTTTCACTGTCCTTGAACTATTTTAAATAAGTTGTAGATAAAACTTTCAGCAAATGCAAAATAACTCCTGTCCATAGAAATGTAAATAAATTCTGGCCAGAAGAAGTTCAACTCACTTCCTTCCACCTTCCACCACCCCTCATGGGAGGGCAGAACATATATATTTATTTCAACTTCCCTTTATTCCTTATAAATTTGTGCTTCTTTGGCTTCTCTTTTGAACCAGTTTCAATATCTGCTTGGTTCCCTCATTATACAATGAGTTTAACAAAATCTTTAACACATACTTATTTTATATCTGTAAGGGAGTTATGATTTTTTTAAAGATTTTATTTATTTGACAGAGAGAGAGAGAGCACAAGTAGGGGGAGTAGCAGAGGGAGAGGGAGAAGCAGGCTCCCCGCTGAGCAGGAAGCCCAATGTGGGGCTTGATCTCAGGACCCTAGGATCACAACCTGAGCTGAAGGCAGATGCTTAGCCAACTGAGCCACCTAGGCACTTGGGAGTTAGGACTTTACCTTTAAAAAATTATCCTTTAACTCAATGTAAGTCTAATTATTGCTCATTTAATTCCTTGATTTATAACCAGTAATAATTCTAGAAAATACGAGAAATGTTCACATATCCTGGAACTAGATTCTTAGTTTTTTTCCTAGAAGAGGGAAAGAAAATATTTTTGGTTTAAAAACAACTTGTAAGGCATGTTATCCAATGAATTCTCACAATATGGTCTACCTAATTATGCAAGATCATTAAAGTTCACTGGTGTAAAATGCTTATGAAATCTTAGTGCTACAATTCTATTTGTCAAGCCATAGTCATGTCAAGTAGTTACACATAAAACAGAATTCTACAGAATAAACTCAAGTGTGACAGAGACTCACCAAATATCTATGTGATACACTGTATTTCCCAGCTTTCCCTATTGAAATGTGAGCAGAAGTGATATTTATTAGTCACTTCTAGACCAAGGTAATTAAGAGAAGGGTATACCTTAACATCCCTTTGTTCCTGGCATAACATCAGTGAAGGCAGAGTGTACATGATGACATAACAACAGGATGGAGGAACCAAGTATATCTCTATGTACTTGAAGTCCATGATATATTTGTAAGTAAAAAAGATAAAAGAACTGGAAGAGTATATATAAGAGGTAAACTTTCTCTTCTTACTTTAAATATTTTGGGGGGGTGATAAAAAAACTTTCTAACTTGAGAAATGTAGGATAAAATATAATAAACATTTTCTTAAATGCTTAGCTGAGCTCCCAAGGAAGAGAAAAGGAAACTCACAGGGTTCTAAAATAAAGAGGGAACCAAGAGTTAAACTGAGCAGTGAAGTTTGGGCTTCATAAAGGTCCACTCTGAAGACTTGAACCAAAGATCTCTGAATTTAGGGACTCAGCATAGATGAAGACAGAGTTACTATACTGAAATAGGGAGAGTAAATGAAAATCTAACTACTGAAAAGTAAAAACCCTGTCATCCTCTCCCTTCCCCTACCATTACACTCTAAAAATGCTGGGGGCCAAATTGATCAAGAAAAAGATAGAAGCAGCAAATAAACAAATAATATTAGGAATATAAAAGAAGTCATATATAATCCAACTATATTTTATTATCACATTGACAAAAGATATTAAAAAACTGAATCAGTGGTTAAAAATATATCCCTCCCCAGGGGCACATGGGTAGCTCAGTAGGTTAAGCATCTGACTCTTAGATTCAGCTCAGGTCCTGATCTCATGGCTCATGAGATCAAGCCCTGTGTCCGGCTCTATGCTCAGCGGGAGTCTGCTTCGATAGTCTCTCCCTCTGCCCCTTCTCCTGCTCACACTTTCTCTCTCTCAGATAAATAAATAAATCTTAAGAAAAAAATCCTTTTCCAGGAAAGAATGAAATGAAAAAAAAAAAAAGGATAGGGCAGAAGACATGAACAGACACTTCTCAAAAGAAGACATACAAATGGCTAACAGACACATGAAAAAATGTTCATCATCATTAGCCATCAGGGAAATTCAAATCAAAACCACATTGAGATACCACCTTACACCAGTTAGAATGGCAAAAATTGACAAGGCAAGAAACAAAAAATGTTGGCGAGGTTGTGGAGAAAGGGGAACCCTCTTACACTGTTGGTGGGAATGCAAGTTGGTATAGCCACTTTGGAAAACAGTGTGGAGGTTCCTCAAAAAATTAAAAATACAGCTACCCTATGACCCAGCAATTGCACTACTATTTACCCCAAAGACACAGATGCAGTGAAAAGAAGGGCCATATGCACCCCAATGTTCATAGCAGCAATGTCCACAATAGCCAAACTGTGGAAAGAGCCGAGATGCCCTTCAACAGACAAATGGATAAAGATGTGGCCCATATATAAAATGGAATATTACTCAGCCATCAGAAAGGATGAATACCCAACTTTTGCATCAACATGGATGGGACTAGAAGAGATTATGTTAAGTGAAATAAGTCAAGCAGAGAAAAGTCAATTATCATATGGTTTCACTTATTTGTGGAACATAAGGAATAGCATGGAGGACATTAGGAGAAGGAAGGGAAAAATGAAGGGGGGGGGAATCGGAGGGGGAGATGAACCATGAGAGACTATGGACTCCGAGAAAAAATTGAGGGTTTTAGAGGGGAGGGGGGTGAGGGGGTGGGTTAGCCTGGTGATGGGTATTAGGGAGGGCATGTATTGCGTGGAGCACTGGGTGTTATACACAAACAATGAATTATGGAACACTACATCAAAAACTAATGATGTACTGTATGGTGACTAACATAACATAATAAAATAATAAAAGAAAAAAGGAAAGGAAAAAAGACAGACAACTGGCTACACTGATGATTTACAGTTAAGTTCTATCAAGCCCTTAAGGAACAAAATCCTTATCTGATACAAATTCTTCCACGAAATAGAAAAAGAAATGCCCCTCGGCTCATTTTATGAAGATATAAGAAACCTGATATCAAAACCAGACTAGGAAAATATGTGAAGAAAATAATTCAATCTCATTTTTGAGAATAGGTGGAAAAAATATTAAATAAAACACTAGCAAACAAAATTCAGTAATGCATATTATTAAAAAAAATTAAAAGGAAATGTACAAGTAGGTTTTACTCCAAAAATGAAAGGTGATAATAGATTAGAAATAATTACAAATAATTTACATTAACAGATTAAAAGAGGAAACTCATAAAATTATTTAAATAGATACAGAAAAGGCAGCCGGAAAATATTCAATACCCATTTATGTCTTAAAAAGTTTCTTGAAATAAAAATAGAAAGGATGCTGTGTATCTTTCCCTTTTTCCAAGAAGCTAACTTCAATCGACTGCATCTGTGGTCATCTCTTGTCCTTGTGCCATTTTCTCTTAATGGTACAAGACAGTGGATGGTAGGGAAAGTGTTAAGGTCAGGTTACTTACTTCTCTAATTCCCTCCTTCTTAGTTCATACCTTCTTGTAAAGTTAGCTTCCCTGAGTTCTAGTTACCACTCCCTTTCTTTGCCCTTTCAGGCCCAGGGATGGTATAGCATTATCTCTTGCAGGTGGCCTTAAACTGTGACCACATGTTTGTAAACAGTCCTTTTATTAAACTGACACAGGGCACCATTTGTTTCTTGACAGAATCTTGACTCACACAGAAGGCAATTTCCTTAACCTGGGAAGAAGTATCTATCAGAAACTTAGGAGAGAAAGCCATATTTAAAAGGAGAAAAGCACTTCCATGAAATGAGAGGAAGATGCCCTCCCTCCCATCATTGCTTCTATTCATCAATGAACTGGAAGTACTTGAAAGAAATATATGGATTCAAAATGAACAACAACAACAAAAAACCCTTCCAATCACAGTAGCTTTAACTGTCTACATAGGAAACAATTAGAACTGTTAGAGTTCAATAAGATAAAAGAAATACAAATATCTATTTCATTCCTGTATATTAGCAATCATTGGGAAACTTAATTCAAAAAAATATTATTTACAATAGAAACAAAAAATGAGATACCAAGAATAAATTGAACAAATTATGTACAAGACTTTTACAGAATATAAAATACATTCTTCAAAAAAGAGGCTATGTGTAGCAGTTAAAAGCACATATTCAAGAGCATTGTGTACATTCAAATCCAGGGGCCATCATTAACTATTTGAATGATCTTGATCAAATTATTTCAACTAATCATGCCTTCATATGCACATATATAAAATGAGGATAATATAGTACCTAACTCACAGGTTTTTGTGAGGATTAAACAAGTTAATACTGGAAAAGGATTTATAGTAGTACTTGTTTTTTGTTTTTGCTTGTACTGTTTTTTTCTACTTACACCTAAATGAGCTAAAACTACAAAATTCTTAGAAGAAAACATAAGCATACATCTCCATGACCTTAGATATGACACCAAAAGCACAAGCAACAAAAGAAAAAACAGATAGATTGGACTTCAAAACTTTAAAACATTTGTGCTTCAAAGCACTACCATGAAAGTGAAAAGAAAACCCAAAGAACGGAAGAAAATATTTGCAAATCATTAATGGACATAAGGGACTTTTACCTGGAATATATAAAGAACTACAACTAAATAAAAAAGACAACCCAATGAAAAAATAAGCAAAGGATTTGAATAGACATTACTCCAGAGAAGAAATACACATAGTAAGTACATGAAAAGATGCTCAACATCATTAGCCATTAGGGAAATGCAAACCAAACAAACTGCAATGAAATTAGCACTGCACACTCAAAAACAACAACAACAACACAACAACAACAACAACAAAAACCCACAAAAAATAAAAACCACTTCAACACTCCCTTGGATAGCCATTAAAAACAAGAAACAAACAAACAAAAACCCTAACAAGTATTGGTGAGGATGAGGGGAAATTGGAAACCTCATATATTGCTGGTGAAAATATAAAATGGTAAAGCCACTCTGGGACACACTGACAGTTCCTCAAAAAGTTTAATGTAGAATTATCATATGACCCACCAATTCCAAAACTGGAAACAGGTACTCAAACAAATACTTAAGCATGAATGTACACAGCAACACTATTTACAAAAGCCAAAAGGTGAAAACAACCCAAATGTCCATCAGTAGGTGAAAGGATAAACAAAATGGGGTGTGGAAGTAAAATGGAATGTTACTCAGCCATAAAAAGGAACAAAGTACTGATGCATACTATAATGTAGACGAACTTTAAAAACATTATGCTAGGGGTGCCTGGGTGATGCAGTTGGTTAAGCAACTGACTCTTGGTTTCAGTTCAGGTCATGAGACGGAGCCACAAGTCGGGCTCCACACTCAGCATGCAGTTTGCTTGAGATTCTCTCTCCCTCACCCTCACCTGCTCATGCTCTCTCTCCCCAAAATAAGTAAATAAATCTTTAAAAGAAAAAAGAACACTATGCCAAACAAAACAAGCTAGACACATATTGTATAACTCCATTTATACGAAATATCCTTAATAGGTAAATCCATAGAAAGCAGATTAATGGTTGCCAGGGATGGCTTAACAGGTACAAGGTTTTCTTTTGTGTGATGAAAAGGTTTTGTAACTAGACAGAGTTGATGGGTTGAAAACACTGTGAATGTACTAAAAAGTATTCCTGGTCATAGAGTTAATTAGATGTTAAGTATGCCCTTTCCCCCTCCCCAAATTTGGAGATTCACAGTACACATTAGCATATTTAAGGTTCTAAAACAATCCTGCAGTAAAAATAAAAACTTATTTAAACTCAGCACTTCTGAGAAATACAAATGGGCTCTCAGTTAAGGGGTTTTTAAACTGTAGGTCAAAATCCATTAACTGAAATCAATTTAGCAGCTCAGAATAAGGATCTTTCAAAAATGAAGTAGAGTAGGGGCACTTGGATGGTTCAGTCAGTTGGGTGGCTGACTTTTGATTTCAGCTCAGGTTGTGATCTCAGGGTCATGATGGAGCCCCAAGTTGGGCTCCTCGCTCAACATGGGAGTCTGTTAGAGATCCTCTCCCTCTGCCCTTCCCCCTCCCCCTGCTCATGCACACGTGCTTTCTAAAATAAATAAATAAAATTTAAAAAATGAAGTACAGTGGGAAAATACTAGACTGTATCAATAAAGATAAGCATTGTATTTCATAAAGCTTTTGTTTCAGTCACATAAACAATATACCAGGACATGCTGTCAAATGTATTTCTTACCTACTCATCAGAAACTATGAAAAACTCTTTGAATACAATGAAACAAATCTTACCTTACTTACCATATTATAGAATTCCAGCTCCCTTGGACCCCTTGGAGGTGGCTGTAACTGTTTCAAAACTGTGCCATCTGGATGTTGCAGGATACCTGCAGAACAAAAATCAGCTATTTTTTAATGCGTTGATAATAGTATACCTTGCATCACAGGGTTAGACGTGTTCCTAAAGTTACAGATAAACCACTTTCATAAAAATTAAGGGGTTTGTTTTTATTTCAGAAATTTTAACATTTAACCAACACATTTCAGTGCTTGTTATACGCAAAGCACCAGAAAACAAATTCTGAAGTGTGGTTTTATTGTATCGAACTACTATTCCCCTTAAAGCCCTCTCAGACTTTCTAAAAAATTTCTAAATTTTATAAAAATCCTTCAGTAATGGTCTTTCTGGGAGAAAGTAATTTATAGTTAAACAAGAAGTTAAAAGCAGTAGTGTAAACTGATTCCACTCTTGTAAACAGAAAAAAACATACATGTTAAAGGTGGTACTATATGAACTTCCTATTTTGTAACTTTTTTATAAGTTTCTCTCATTTATTACAAGAAAGCAACTAAAAATTTTTCCTGATTCAAATGCATAGCCACTGGGAAAAGTGGGGACTGAAATCAGACACCAAGCCTGAAGCAGGAAGGGGCAACTTCTCATAATCAGCCCACTCAAAGGAGGAGCCTTTTCCTTTTTTTTTTTTTAAAGATTTTATTTATTTATACATGAGAGACAGAGGGAGAGAGAGAGGGAGAGAGAGAGAGAAGCAGAGGGAGAAGCAGGCTCCCAAGGAGCAGGGAGCCCAATGTGGGACTCGATCCCAGGACCCTGGGATCACGACCTGAGCCGAAGGCAGACGCTTAACCATCTGAGCCACCCAGGCGCCCAGGAGGAGCCTTTTCCTAAAGACATCATATATGTGCTAGCACTGGCTGTATCCCTATACCATGAAGACTGATTACCAAATTTATATGCTAAAACCTTAAATTTTCAAATACTGAGATTTCACAAAATCATGTGTTAGAACACAATAGGACTCAAATAAGTATCATAAGGAGAAAAGAGAATAGGTCAGAAAAAATTTCTGGACTTCTACTTTTACCTAAGATACAGAAACCTAAAAACCCCATCCCAAGATTCAGGGTCATAGGGCCTACCTAATATTGAAGCTGGACCAAGACAACAAGAAACGCCCCCTACAGCCTTGCATCAGGCTAGTAATCACCAAGTAATAAGCAACAGTAATCTACATTTGGAGAAAAGGCATGAACATGGAGAAAAACTATCTCTGAAGCATGAGTGCATGAGGAAGACATAAAGCAGAGGGTTAAACAGGAATGTTGAGAAAAATCCTCTGGCAAATCAACCCCACTCTAAACAAAAGATTACAAGAGAAAAATTTCAAGCCTGTGGTGCACTGAAGGTGTTATTAGTCTGCTCTAGCTTCCATAATAAAATACTGTAGACCAAGTGGCTTAAACAACAAAAATTTATTTTCTCACAATTCTAGAGGCTAGAAGTCACAGATCAAGATGACAGTCTATTCAGCTCCTGGTGCGAGTTTTCTTGCGGGCTTGTAGACAGCTGCCTTCTCATTTCGTCCTCACATGGTGGAGACAGTGAGAGAGAAAAGATATTCTCTCATGTCTCTTTTTATAAGGACACTCATCCTTTTGGATCAGGCCCACCCTTATGCCCTCATTAATCTTAATTACTTCCATAAAGACCCTCTCCAAATATAATCATGTGAAGGTTGTTCTTTCAGTGTATGAATTTGGGGCAACACAACATACAGTTCGTAACAGAAAGTAAGTATAGCCACAAAATTCAAACTTGGCTCTATCCCTGACTAGATTGGCTCAATCAGAAACACTAACTGCCTAGCAGAAGAGGTGCATTCATTCTGGTCATAAATACTGTTTGCCTTCAGTCTCACATGTGATGTCCAGAATTTAATAAAAAATTACAAGACATATGAAAAAGCAAGGGGAAAAAAAACTACCAAAAGAAGATGCAACATACAGAACAGTTTCAGAGATGACACAAATGTCAGAATTATCAAAGGAACTTAAAATAACCACAATTAACATGTTAAAGATTATAATAGAAAAGGTAAATAACATACAAGCAAAGATGGGGAATTTTAGCACAGAAATTATAAGGGTCAAATGGAATGTTAGAAGTGAAAAAGGGAGTGGCACCTGGGTGGCTTAGTCCGTTAAGTGTCTGCCTTCAGCTCAGGTCATGATCCCAGGGTCCTGGGATCCAGTCCCACATCAGGGTCCCCGCTCAGCGGGGAGTCTGCTCTTCTCTCTCCCTCTGCCCCTCCCCTGGCTTGTGCTCTCTCCTCTCTTGCTCACTCTCTCTCTCAAATAAATAAAAAAATAAATTAAATTTTAAAAAAAGAAATGAAAAAGAGAGTTAAGAGACAAAAACATGCTTTCTATGGGCTCATCAGTAGACAAAATATAGAAGAGGAAGGAATCAGGGAATTTGATGACAGGTCAACAGAAATTACCCAAACTGAAACACAAACAGGAAAAAAAAAAGTGGAAAAAATTAGAAGAGAGCATCTAAGATCTGTGAATAATATCAAACAGTTTAAGATAACTATTAGAATCCTAGAAAAAATAAAAGGCACACTCATGTTCACTGCAGCCATTATTCACAATAGCCAATAAGTGGAAGTAACCTAAATGTCCATCAACAGATGAAAGATTAAAAAAAAATGTAGTATATACATATAATGGAGAATTTTTCACCTTAAAAAAGGAAATTCGTCCTTCAGAACCTTGAGGGCATATGTTATGTGAAATGAGACAGTCACAGAAGTACAAATACTGCATGATTCCACTTATATAAGGTATCTAAAGTAGTCAAACTCTTAGAAACAGCAATTACAACGCTGGTTTCCAGGTCCTACAGGGAGGGAGAGGGGGATTTGTTGTTCAAGAAATATAGAGTTTCACTTTTGCAAGATTAAAAAGTTCTAAGACATACGTTGCACAAAAATGTTTGTATAGTTAACACTACTACAAAGTATACTTAAAATGATTACTATGGTAAATTTAATGTTGTGTGTTTTACCACAATGAAAAAATTATGTAGTTAGTGGGATTACAACTATGTAAAATAAACGCATGTTAAAATTTCTATCTGTGGTTTGAACATTCTAGGTAATTTTTACTTCTTTTGTAACTTTTTCCAGAAGTTTCTATGATAAACACACCGCTTTTACTATTAGAAAAAATATATGATATGAGAAATTCAAATATGTTAAAATGATTACATATTCTATATAATCTCAATTATGTAAACAAGTTATTGAAAAAGATGAAGGGAAAAAATTTTTAAATGACAGGGTATGAGGAAATACTTGACAAGACAATGTCTAAAATGTTCTAAAACTAATGAAAAACCTAAAAACACAGAGCCAGGGATTTCTAAATAGAATAGAAAATACAAACTCCTAGACATTTTAAATATAAAGACACAGGTGAGTTAAAAATAAAAGGATGGGAAAAAATACTATACTAGCAAGTACCATTCATAAGAAAGTTAACATATTACCATATATCAGACTATGTTAATATTAGACATAGAACTCAAGAAAAAGGAATGTTATCTTACGTAAAAAGGGACATTTCGTAATGATAAGTCAATTCATTTAGACACAGCAATCCTAAATGTGTGTACCTAATAAGAGCTGCAAAATACCTGAAATAAAAACTGACAGAACTGAGTAGACAAACCCGCACTCTCTCAATAATTGATAAAACAAGCATACAAAACATTAGTAGCGACACATAAAACCAAACAACAGTATCAAACAACTTAACCACGCTGACACTTACAGAATGCTATATCTAACAGAATACACATATTTTCATGTACAAATGGAACCAAGATTGACCATGCACTGAATAAATTTAAAAGGATTGAATATTCTCTGCCCATAATGGAAATAACAAGATATTTGGGAAAATACCAAATAGATGAGAAGTAAACACACATGTAATTAATCCACGGATCAAAATTCACAAGGGAAATTAAAAAGTAGTTTTAACTAAATGATAATGAAAACTAACATAACAAAATTTGTGAAATGCACCTGAAGTACTGCTTAGTACTTACAGGAAAATGAGTAGTTTTAAATGCTTGTATTAGAAAAAAGAAAAAAAGAAAGGTTCCAACTTAAGATGCTAGAAAAAAGTAATATATTAATCCAAAATAAGTGGGAAGACAGGAGCGAATAAAAACAAAAACAAAAACAGTAAGAATGGACACCAGAAAAAAAAAGTCCATGAAAAAGATTCTGAGATCAATAAAACTGATAAAACTCTAGCTAGATGGATCAAGAAAAAAACATAAATTCATTAAGAATAAATGAAAGATGGGATATCACTATAAATGCTATAATAAGCATTAAAGGCATAAGGCAATTATGAACTTCAGACCAATAAATCCAACTTAAATAAAATGAATAAATTCCTTTATACATAAAACACAAGAGGTAGAAAATCTGAGTTGCCTTATGACTATAAAGAACACTAAATTCATAATTTTAAATATCTTGAGATAATTGTAGGCCAAAATGGGTTCAATAGTAAATTCTATCAAACATTTACAGAAAAAGATTAACAGCACTCTTACCAAATTTTTTCAGAAAACAGGAAAGTGGGGAACATTTCCCCACTAATTTTATGAAACCAGCATATTTTTTTAAAACCCCAACAAAGACTTAAACAAAAATTATAGACAATTATCTCAAATGAACATAGTCATAAAAATATTTAATGAAATATCAGTAAACCTAATCCAGCAATATATACAGGATAATTTATCATGACCATATGGACTAATTCCAGGAATGCAAAGTTGGTTTAAATATTTCAATATGAGTAAATATATTGATGTTTTGGGTAAGACAGAATTCTCAATGAGAAAGAAGGGATATATAAATATAGAACAGGGGAAGGTAAAGAACAACCCTGTGGTATTAGGTTTAAATTATAGGTATAAGTATGAACCCAACTTTTAAAAAATATGAAATTCTGTATCTTTTTTTTTTTAGATTTTATTTATTTATTTGTCAGAGAGAGA